TCAAGGCTAATAAACTCTTCAGTTTAAATTTAAAATTGATTTTTATTTATTTTTATGTGTGGCAATGCCGCCAAATTTTAAATGCATAGATCTTCCTAAATATGTATAGTAAAATCTAAATATATGAATAACTACTGGCTATCTAGCCCTGTACCGTGTTCTTGTTTGGGTGTGGTCACACCATGCCCATCTGGTGTGACACACAGCCCTATTACGAGGGTATGTGTTGTCCCGTTGCAGCTTCGGTAACGAAAAGATGCCTTCCAGATTGATGAGCAACTACGTTGCCGAGTTCTTTGAGCAAAGCTTGGAAGGCAAAAGGAGTAATCTTAAAATAGAATTAGAATGGCGGTTGTATGTCGCTATTAAACCTTGATCCTTGTCGATATCCTTAAGTATATGTTAGAACGCTGCGTGGTGGAACCGTCAGCTAGAAGATATTATAGCCATGACGTTGACTAAGGTCGAATTCGATGCATTTCAAGCAGCATAAAAATCATTTGGTTGATGACATTTTTTCAGAGAAAAGTATAACTCGAATCTAGAGGCGCGATGGCGATTTTTCTTGATAGCCAATGTCTCTTGAATGAAGAGCTGCTCCATAGCCTTGCAGCTGTTTTATCTATGGCAAAGGAGAAATTTAGCGACCCAATAACCTTTTTGCTCTTTTTTGGGTGCTACAAAGGTTCGTGGGGTAAAAAATAAATCTTTTTTGTTTCGATCGTCACCGTTCCGATGTAAGGTTTATGTTCTTGATCGCAGACATTGCATATTTGGAGAGCTTGTTGCGTTTAGATTACATTTGCCGAGTAGCATATTAGTGTGTGTACCACCTGCCTCCGGCGTCGGTATGATGCTGTGATTAGGCATTGCTCTTAGCCAGAACGTCTCACGCTGTGCGGTTGAAGCTTATTCTTAAACAGGAGCGACCACTTATTTTGCGTGAGTGTTTGACAGCTCGGTATCAGCAAGTTGGTTTTGTTTGACAGTCATCCCCTACTGAGACACGCAGGGTTTTGCCATATCAATACTGTAAAATAGGACAAGCCTGTAGGCTCTACTCAGCGCAATTTCAGCGAGTCAAAGCAACACTGTTCATAACCACGGCCTGCGTTGATGAAGACCCTTCACAACGTGATCACGCTTTTGTATGTCGGTCAAGCGATTGACACATCCAATTCGATGCGGAGTATCTTTACTAAAGTTTGCTTAAACGACATAGCAAAAATCAATTTTTTGATACAATGAAAACTGTCAAGCTACAGTGGCTAATTCTTTGTTACTGGACATCGTGGTTGTTTAGTCACCGAAAAAGCACAGCGAACTGACTTTTTTCTCAAAACGCTCATAGGTTCTTGTATTGCCGACGCGTCTTTTAGCAGACCTAAAATGGTGTTCATAGCCAGTGTGGGGGATAATTCTATGGCATGCTGCGATATTTCTACCGCTCACACGATTCACCATAACGCGCATCCGTGCTTTCCCACTTTACATGTTTGAGCACCATTTCAAAGTGCTTTCCAAGAAGTACGCCATTTTTATTCCAAGGTGGCTGGCTACCCAAAGGGATGCGTACATTGTTTGTGCTTTCTTATATAGATCTTCGTTTTAGACACCGCTACGCGCTCAGCGTCATGTAAGTCAGTACTAAAATATAGCAAGCTTTAGGGCAAGGCATAGCGGTAGTGGCTTGCAACCAAGCCCTTTGATAAAACTAAAACTGAGTTAGACTTTCCATGCCTTTTAAAGCGTCTAGCAGCTCAACACCTGTTGAGCCTGACCCGAACGCCGCTCGTCTTGCCTTAAATATTGTGCAACATTGCCACTATGGCATAAAACAATGAGTTGTTAGGGCAATTTGAATTCGTATCTGCTGCCACACAGTCTTTCCCACCCTATACCTTACCTTAAATGTTTACACAAAGAAAGATTGCCGTATTGCCGTTCACTGTGGGAGATGTAATGGAGATGTCACTGTACGCAATGCTGCATTATCTATATAGATTGCAACTAGATAAAATCCTGGTAGGTGTAGCCTAAAGTTAACGAAGTCATACTTCATTACAAGTAGCTTTTTGCCATACAAAGGGTAGCTTCTACCAGCATTTATCAGTTAGCCAGCAAGAACACGATCACGCGATCATTCCAAATGTCATCTACTTTGAGTACAGCAAAGAGTAGTGCAAAGACTGGATCGTTATAGCGGATGTGAAATTGCCAATCCGAACGCAGAAGAGCTAGAATCGAGGAATTGTACGGCTTTATCCCATATCTTTAAAGACCGTACCTTTCGCTGTGCC